ATATATGTTGTACAGATACCATGCATGGAATATACAGAACTCTTATTTTCTTTAGATGATGTCACATGCTGAAGGACAACAGAGAGACTTAATTAGACGAATTGAATGCCTTCCTACTTCTGGCCATCTTAGTTCCTTGGACCAGGATCTGTTAATGCTCAAAGCAACTTCCATGGCAACTATGAACTGCCTAAATGATTGCTTTCATATTCTTCAGTTGCAGCATGCATCACATCAGAAGGGCTCATTGCCTTCAGGTAAATTATAGATTGAAGGTAAGGTTTAACATTGAGGGCCACAATTGAGAAAGAGTATATTCAAATACAATAAGTATAAAACTAACTCCAGAAAAAACTTATTTAAAAACATTAATAAAGACTAGTGAGCATCTTGGTTTTTAATTTTCAGACTAATTTTTTACAAATTGTTTCTGTTGTATACTTGATTGGATGTAAAATTATTCTAAATATAATGTTTAATGTCATTGAAAATGCCTTTAGAGACCTCAAATTCAGTATGTCAGAAACTAACCTCAAGATGTACAGCGTGTGTATTTCTGTTAAAATTGTGACAATTACAATCCTTCCAGTTGTCTAACCTAGAAACTTATGTGCATCTCTTGAATTTTGACCCAGTTCACTAGTTGTTATATTCATATTAATATATATTTTTAAGGTTGACTATTCATTCACCTTTCAGTTTGGAAAAAATAATGTGTATGTCTAGTATTTAAGAATTTCATGGGAATAGAATTGGCTGGAATTACAAAAATGAATTTTTCTATTAAATAAGATCAATACATACCACTACATTATATTAATTAATTGATTTAGTGTTTCACAGCAGTTTACTACTGTTTTCTTCTTTAACCACCTTCCCTTTTATATGAAACAGGTTATTAGAAAGATATTGAATGTCTGCTCAGGAAAATGTATACCATAATTAGATTTTGATATGGATTGTGATATTCTCATACGTGCGTGCCCAAATTCAACATTTCAAGCCAACAAATCAATTTTAATAGCAATTGTCAGTATGGGGCAGGGAACTATTTTAGAGGTTCATAAACTGTATGTGCTCCCCATAAGGAATTCACAGTCCATTTGGGAAGAAAATGTAAATTAGTTAATTATACTATAATATGTGAAACACTAATAGCCATTGGGTAAAAGTACTGTGGGAGAACAGATTAATGAACAAATAATTCTGATACAAGTTCTGGAGAAGTCATGAGAAAGCTATGACAACCAATTAGTTTAAGGGTAGAGGATAGTTCAATTATTTGTAAGAGTCTAAATTGTGAGTTTTTAACTGAGTTTATTCTTTGGGGAAATTGTAAGTTGTCCAGCATACATATTCTATTATGAAGCAATACATAGTTTATAGAAATGTATAGAACACATTTAAACTACCACAATACGGAAGCATTCCTGGTATGATGCTCTAGGATAAGCACTAGACCACAGGGTTGGTTTGAACTGCAAGGTCAGTGGTTTGAACTCACCAGCAGCAATTCAGAAACCCTATATAGGGTCATTATGACTTGGAATGATTCATGGCACTTAACTTAATAATATTGAAAGAAGACACAAAAACCATGCATTGTCTTAACCAACAAAAAAAAATCACTGTTTATTAGTATACTTCCCACCATTTTTTCTTTTTGGTTTTTGTTTAACACTGCTGTAATTAGAGAATATCTTTGTTTTTGCAATATAGTTTTCACTTAATATCAAACGTGTTTTACCAAATTTAGCATATATTTTAAGTAAACATAGTTTTATTGACTATATTATATTTCTTTGAAAAGATAGATGTACTTTGGTATACTTAACACTACTATGTTGAATATTAAATTGTTTCCAAATTGGTTTTACAAAAGTAAAACTCTCATTAATATATATTAACAAACTTAAAATGTCATATATTAAATAAAATGAATGTTGTTAGTTACTAGCAAATTGATTCCAATGAATCACATCCCTGTGTACAAAAGAACAAAATACTGCCCAATCCTGCACCATTCTCACATTACTTCTGTGTTTGAACCCATTGTTGCAGCCACTCTGACAGCCCTTATCATTGAGGGTCTTTTTCACTGACCCTTTATCATGCATAATGTCCTTTTCCAGGAACTGGTCCTTCCTGATAACATGTCCAAAGTACATGAGACAAAGTCTTGACATCCTCACTTCCAAGAACATTCCAGCTGTACTTCTAAGACAGATTTGTTTGTTCTTCTGGCTGTTCATGGTCTATTTATTATTCCTTGCCAACACCATAATTTAAAGGCATCAATTCTTCTTTTGTCTTCCTAATTCATTTCACATGCATATGAAATAATTTAAAATACCGCCTTTGACGACGAGTAAGGTGCACCTTACTCCTCAAAGCGACATCTTTACTCTTTAATACATTTAAGAGGTCTTTTTTAGCAGACTTGCTCAGTGCAGTAGGTCATTTGATATCTTGACCACTGTTTGATATATTGTCCACTGCTTCATGGGCATTGACTGTACATCCACATAAAATGAAATCCTTGACAGCTTCAACCTTTTCTGTTTATCATGATGTGGTTTCCTGGTCCAGTTGTGTGACTATTTTTTTTTCCACTGCTTCATGGGCATTGACTGTACATCCACATAAAATGAAATCCTTGACAGCTTCAACCTTTTCTGTTTATCATGATGTGGTTTCCTGGTCCAGTTGTGTGACTATTTTTAATGTTGATGTAATCCATACTGAAGGCTGTAGGCTTTAATTTTCATCAACCTTTCAGCAAACAATGTTCTGTCATCTGCATATTTCAGGCTGTAAAATACATGATATTTTAAGTTCTTGTTTTATCTTTTATAATCATATACTGGAAAAGGGAAAGAAAAAACAAACCATTTCCTGCTCTTCTCATTCTTATGTGATTTACTGTTTCACAGTCAGTATGTAAATTTATCACCGGAAAACCAGTTGCCCACACAGGCAATACAGTGTTCCAACACAGGCAACCTTGTAGGACAGAATAGAACTGCCCCATAGGATTTGGAAGGCTATAATCTTTACAGAAGCTGGCTGTTACCTCCTCCAATACAGATGTGTTTGTTCTTCTGGAAGTACATGGTACTTTTAATATTCTTCTCCAACACCATAACTCCAATGCATTAATTCTTCTACAGTCTTCCTAATTCATTGTCCAACTTTCACATGCATATAAGGCTATTGAAAATACCATGGCTTGGTTCAGGTGCACCTTAGTCCTCAAACAGACATTTTTGCTCTTGAATATTTTAAAGAGGTCTTGTGTAACAAACAGATTTGCCTAATGCAATACATCATTTGATTTCTTGACTGCTGCTTCCATGAGTAATGATGGTTGCTCTGAGCACATGAAGTCTTCTACAACTTCAGTCTTTTCTCCATTTAACATGATGTTACTTTTGCTCCAGTGGTGAGAATTTTTGTTTTATATACATTGAGGTGCAACCCATATTGAAGGCTGTGGTCTTTGATATTCATTAGTAAGTATTTTAAGGCCTCTTGGCTTTCAGCAAACAAAGGTTATTGAAATCTGCATATTGCAGATTGTTAATGAGTCTTCCTCCAATCCTGATACCACATTCTTCTTCATATAATCCAGTTTCTCTGATTGCTTAGCATGCAGATTGAGTAACTATGGTGAAAGAATACAACCCTGGTGCACACCTTTGTTAATTTTAAACCATTCTTGTTCTATTCAAACTAACTGCCTCTTGTTCTACAGTTTCCTCCTGAGCACAATCAACTGTTAAAGAATACTCTTCTCTGCAATGTTGTCCATAGCTTGTCATGATCCACACAATCAAAGGCCTTTGCATAGTCAGTAAAACACAGAATACTTTCTGGTATTCTCTGCTTTCAGCCAAGGTTCATCTGATGTCAGCAGTGATAGCCCTCTTCCCACATCCTCACCTGAATCCACCTTGAACCTTTGGCACTTCACTGTCAATGTGCTATTGCAGCAGTTTTCAATTCAATTTAGCAAAATTTTACTTGCATGTGGTATTAGTGATACTGTCTGATGATTTCTGCGTTCCATTGGGTCACCTCTCTTTGGAAAGGATACAAATATGAATATCTTCCAATCAGTTGGCCAGGTAGCTGCCTTCCAAATTTCTTAGCATAGATGAGTGAGTGGCTCCAGTGCTGCATCAGTTTGTTGAAAGATTTCAATTTGTTTTCCATCAATTCCTGGAGACTTGTTGTTTGCTAATGCCTTCAGTGCATCTAGGACTTCTTCCTTCAGTACCATTGGCTCTTGATCATTTCATACCTCTTGAACTGGATGAACATCAACCGTTTCTTTTTGGTGTCATGACTCTATTCCTTCCATCTTCTTTTCATGCTTTCTGAATCACTGAATATTTTGCCCATAGAGTCCATCAGTATTCAATTCAAGACTTGAATTTTCTCCTCAGTTTTCTTCAGTTCTTTTAGCTCAAGAAATTCTGATTGGGTTCTTCCCTTTTGGTTTTCTAACTCCAGGTGTTTGTGCATTTCATTATAATATTTGACTTTGCCTTCTGAGGCTTCCCTTTGAAATTTTCCCTTCAGCTCTTTTACCTCTTCTTCAATTTGCTTTAGCATCTTGACTCTGGAGAGCAAGTTTCACTGTCTCTTCTGACATCCATTTTGGTCTTTTCCTTCTTTCTTGTCTTCTTAATGACCTTATGCTTTTTTCCTGTATGATGTTCTTGATGTCATCCCAGAATTCTTTGGTTTTTGGTCATTATTGTCTAATGCATCAAATCTGTTTAGGGTCTATAGAAGGAACAATTTCTAGGGTGAAATTTATTTTTTCTGATTAGTTCATAGTTCATGAATGATTCTATTCCTGTTTTATTAATTGGGGTGTTCTGGTTTTTGACTGAGTCACCCCTTAAGATCTGAAATTTGGATTGACTGTAGTGTTAGTAATAATAATATTATCAAGAAAATTATACAGACAGGTCAAGAATCACTGCGCAAACAGGAATTGTTACCTTTTTTTGCCCTGCCCATCATGTAAATCAAATGTCTAGGGACATTAGTCTCGCTCATATGATCCGAGAGTAAATAGACAAAGGCTCACAAAACAGACTAAAT